TCAGCCAGGATTAACTTCTTTGCAGAGTATGACAGGAATGTCTGGGTATAAAATTGAGAAATTGTTCATAAATATTATGGAAGGCTTTTTGAGCTGTTTACTATTAGAGGTCTGATTTAGCAAAAGGACTGCTGTTTCTGGGATGTGGATTTTTTACTTTTTTCTTTTAACTAAATCACTGACAGTTCAAATAAATGATACACATTTCATAGCACTTTCACCTGTGATTATAGCAGAAGGAAACAAATTGCTATTTTTAAGAGACAGTTTTAATATCTTTTACTACATTTGGAGAAGGAAAAAACATACCAAGAGCACTATCTCCTGTAGGTAACTTATTTCTCTCGCCATTTCTTTATTTAAAGTCTTGTGCTGAACCAGCCAATGAAATGCATTATTCCACTTGATGGAGTTTTCTAGCAGAAAAAAAACTAGTGCCAGCATGCATTTCTGAGAAGTCAGACACATTAATTCAAAAAACAAAAAAAGCCCTGGCCGGTTTGGCTCAGTGGATAGAGCATCGGCCTGCGGACTGAAGGGTCCCGGGCTCGATTGCAGTCAAGGGCATGTACCTTGGTTGCGGGCATATCCCCAATGGGGGGTGTGCAGGAGGCAGCTGATCTATGTTTCTCTCTCATTGATGTTTCTAACTTTCTATCCCTCTCACTTCCACGCTGTAAAAAATCAATAAATATATATAAAAAAAATAAATAAATAAAAAATAAAGATACTTGCTAGAGGTTAATAACAAAACTCAATAAAAACCAGTGACATTTTTATCAAACATTTGTGAAACTGCAGTTTTGAATTCTGATCAGCTACAAATTGAATTAAAAGGGGCCTTTCTAATTCTACCTCCTAGGCATTGACATAGAAAACAGGGAGCCTGCACTACACACCCACTTTATAATGGAAAAAAGAGGGTGATTCATTCTCTTAAGCATTAAGGAACCGTTTAACACATGGCTGCTGAGTGGGTTGCCAATTAAGGTGTTGTAGAACCTGTCAATGCTGGTTTAACAGTCACAAAACAAATCATCAATTGAAACTCACCAGTACCAGTCATCCTGTTAATTGACCAAATGATTACCCCTCTCTTAGTTAAGAGGAAACCTGACACACTTGAAGAAATCCTTCTTTGTTGCAAACCTTCAGGAGGCTGTGCCAGACCTCAACTTGGCAAAACTACTTTGGTTTTCCGCTTCATTGGAAAGGTGTCTCCCTTTGTTCTCAGAGGGGCTCCTAATGAAGGCCAAGTTCTAGTCTCACTTTCTGATTGCCTTCCCTCGAAGATATTTTTCTTGCTTTCTGCCATGAGAAAGAAGGAACTGGCCATAGGACGTCGATTAGAATTGTGTTTAAAGGTATTTAGCAAAGGGTGACCAGCAGGGCATTTTACTCATCATAGTGGGTCATACTCAAGGTGGAATAAGAATGGTCTAGCAGTAAACTGCACCCCATATTTTTTGGAGTGTCTAACATATGAGCTATGTACTTCTCGAGATCAAATCCAACTAGCTGCAAACTATAAAAATAAGTCATGATCAAAATACTCATAGGAAAATAAAATGTGCATCAATGGAAAACTATGCATTGTTTAGATTGTAAAGGAAACCTCCTGGTTATCAGATTCTATGAGTTACTTTACAACTCTGTAAATTATAGATAACTGATAGTAATACAGGATGATTCTCGTCTATAGACATGCAAATTATGTCCTGGCCATTGAGATTCAGTTGACTACCACCCGCCCCTAGAAACAATTTTTGCCTTTGTAACATTCATTTCAGTATTCCTGATCTACTAATGTGTTCTTTGGGTTCTCTTTAGACTGTTATAACATCTGACTGGGTTCTCATTATGGGTTGAATAATCTTTAATAAATATTCATTTTATCTCAATATGAGTCACAATTTTGCCTTTTATTTTAGAATTATCCTTTAATATGAGAAGAATCAGATTTAATCTTAAACTGTGCCATGCTCCCTCCAGTCACAGCCTCTGCACATACCATTCCTCTGCCTCCTCCCCACTTGAGACTCTGGACCCACTAATCCAGTGGTTCCCAACCTTCTGGCCCTTTAAATACAGTTCCTCATGTTGTGACCCAACCATAAAATTATTTTCGTTGCTACTTCATAACTGTAATTTTGCTACTGTTATGAATTGTAATGTAAATATCTGATATGCAGCATGGTCTTAGGCGACCCCTGTGAAAGGGTCGTTCGACCGCCAAAGGGGTCGCGACCCACAGGTTGAGAACCGCTGCTAATCCCTTGTCTGCTCTTAGGTTTGGGCTCACTCGTTATTTTCTCAAACAAGCTTTCCCTGACCATCCTTTCTCTCCACAAACAGGCTCAGATCTCCCTGTTATATGCTCTGTTGCACCATACACCACTCCTTCGTGTGGCACTTACCACTGACACTTACCTGATTTTTCTGACTAATGTCTGCCTTCCTCACTAGAATCAACCTGTTCTAATAGCAGGGACCACATCTGGTTGTACACACCATTGTAGTCCCAGCTTCACCAAGGTACTGGACACGGAGGGTTCAAATATAAGCAGCAAATTTGTTGATACATCAGTAAAGCAATAGATCCAGGGATCAATGAATGGACTGGGCTATGAAGACTCCTGTTACAAATCAGAAAGAATAGATCTGGACCAAAGCCAACTAAGTAGGAAAAGGAGACACTGTACTCTGATGTAAATGCCAATGATTTGGAAGACCATGGAGACAACCTATTGGAGGGTACAATGGTACTTACTGCTTCAGACTTTAGAAGGGACTTAGTTGAACAGAACCTATCTAAGATTCCTTTCCCCTCCTACGGACTTCTAAAATCCAAGAGAACCTAGGAATTCTTGAGAATTTTGAACCAGATCAAAGGCAAAGCCAAAAAAGGAACCAGCTTGAGTCCTTTATGTTACAGGAGCAGCATGGTTTAGAGCAGGGGTGGGGAACATCTGGCTGTGTAGGTCTGCAAAATCACTTGGTCTGGCCCTGCCAAGGCAACCGCAGGCGGGACTCGAAATTCAATAAATCTGGGAGCTTTTTTCATGGCAACATAAATTTATATTAAGTGAATTATATTAAGCAAATGAAGTTATAAATATCCAAATGGCCCTTGGCAGAAAAAAGGTTCCCCTCCCCTGGTTTAGAGGAATGTTTCTCAAAATGCGGTCCCTACACCAACACTATCACTTGGAAATTCTCTGACTGTACCTCAGACCTACTGAATCAGAAATTCTGGAAGAGGAGGCAGCCATCTGGGTATTAACAAGACCCACAGGTGAATCTGATACTTGACAAAGTTAGAAAACCACTCTCACAGAATAAAGATGAGCCTCAGAGTCACCCAGACTCTACTGTCTATAGCTGTGAGACCCTGGGCAAAATACTTAAGCTCTCTACACCTGAGTTACTCATCTGGATGATAACAACACTATCTCATAGGATTGTTATGAGAATTTTTAAGTAATATATATAAATTGCCTAGCAAAGCAAGTGACAAAATATGAACATATTAAATTATGTCTGCTATTGCATTTCTCATTCATTTCATCACCACTCCCACCACCACCATCATCATCATCACCATGTCTAGACTCTTAAGGCCTGGACACCCAGAGTAGGAGAAAACTGGTTGATATCACCATTTTTTTGTCAGTGATTTATAATAAAATATACTAACTTACTAATAGATGTGTACAGTGCTTAAGAGGTTATGCAGGCACTTGGCACACATGCTATTTGATTGTCACAAAAAAAAATTGAGGCTGTTACTTTGGACAATTCAGTGGATTTTCCCAATGTCACAATGCTGGTCCTTCCAAGTCATCTGCAGATGCAGAACTTGAACCCAGGTATTTTTATTCCAAATTTAGTGCTTTTCCCTCTACTCTTCACTGCCTATGCTTCTGTTTTTGCTTATATCACTTTCCTAAGGAAAAAGACACTCTAGTCACTAGACACATTGTAGAATAAAATATGCCTGGCATTCTTTAAAGAGTTCCTTGGACCCCGGCATATGGTTCTTCTGATTGTCCTTACTTATAAACCTCACATTTAAAGGAGCAGTCCATATTTGCAAACTCCTAATTATTAGCAATAATTGGTCCCTTCTGCTGTATGTTTGTTTTATTTTTAGTATAGTCATTTACTTCATGTTAAACTCAAATATGTTCGATGCCAGCCTTTTAACAATCCAATTTGCCAAATATGCACTTGTAATACAGAAAGCTATGAAGCATCTTCCCTGCTCCTAAAATATGGCCACCTTCATAAATGTTATCTATTCCTTTTGGCAACGAGTATCCTAAAACACGTCCTCTTCACTGGGTATTGTGAGAGCAGGCCCTGGCTACCCAGCAATGAATCAGGCAGATGTGCTACTTGCCATCCCAAGAGTGGGGGAAGCAGACACTAATCCAACAAAGGAAAGAGCCCCAGACTGCAGGAATGGCCACTGCGGAGGAGCAACATGAATTGATAAAGAAGAGGTGGTCACCTACATCTCTGCAGGGGCTGGAGAACCCCAGGGGAGCAACTGCAGACATGGTGGCCAGGGAAAGCCTCTCTCATCACACACACACACACACACACACACTAAAGCTTATCTTGACACAGGAAGTCTAATACGAAAATCCAATATGTGCAAATATAAGCCACGAGAATAGGTGAGTTAGGAATAGATTATCTGCTTTAACATGATGGATTTAATCTAGATTTACTTGCCCAAGATCTCTCAACAGATGACAGAACAGAAATCTGATGTAGCAACTATCTCCTACAAAGCAGAGGGTTGGTAAAGTAAGGCTCAAGGGCCAAATTTGGGCAGCTGCCTCTTTGTACAGCCTCAAACTATGAATGATATTTACATTTTTAAATTGTTAAAAAATAATAATACTGTATGCCATGTGAAAGTTATATAAAATTCAAATTTCAGTGCCCATCAATACAATCTTATTGCGACAACCACATTACCTATTGTCCATGGCTGCTTTCAAGTTACAAGTAGAGTTGAGCAGCTGTGAAAGAATCCAAAACCTGAAATATTTACTATCTGGCCCTTTAAAGAAAAAGTATGCAGACCTCTGAGGAAAAAGATAGTAATTCACAAAAATAGAAGTAAAAAACATTCTTGGAAATGTTATTTCAAATATGAGTGACAAACCCATATGCAAAGAATGGCTGTAAGATGCCTCAGAAAGAACCTGACCTTGTGGCAGTTGCCTGAGGCGCTCCTTGCCAAGTTCACCTGGAGGTCTCATTTTCTTGACCCTGTGTCCTAGGAAGGAAGTCACAAGTCAGCTCCTAATGGGGATTCATCACCCCCGTTTCAACTTGAGCAGCAGCTGTGTCCAACTTGTGTTCCCAGAAAGGAGCCAAGTGTCTCCACTCCACATTTGCTGGTTCAACTGGGTTCTTAAACAATAGGAAATGGTTTCAAACTGCTTTTGAGGATTTCCAACTATCTTGTCTTCTCTGAATATTTAATAGTTCAAGTGAGTATGCTCAATTATGAAAATAAATTCTTATAAACAGCCCAATCTGGGTGGATAGTGGATTCACAGCACGAAGTTAAATTTTTCCAGTACAAGGAAAATATTACTTTTTCTTCTCAGTCTTCAGGCTACAAGGTCGAGGACTAGAGGCTATCTGTTACAGAATGTCTCCAGTTTTTCCAGTGCTTTGTAACAATACATAATATATTGGTCCCATACCTTCTTTGTCATTTAGTTGTATATGTTCATCTTCAAATGTTGGAGCATTTTGTACTTTTCAAAGGTAAGTTGAAAGATAATATTTAAGGCATACACCTTAAGTCAAAAATGTCCTTCACCTTTTAGAAAAAAGTGCTGCATTTCAATAGGAAATTATGTATCATCTATAGCATACCCTGCCCAGCTGTCCAGCTGTTCAATTCTAGCCCAGTTCACTGTTTTTGAGCTAATTTGGACCACTTTGTAAGTTGCAAGTAACTGATAGATCAGTGATGGCGAACCTCTGACACGCAAACTCATTTTTTAGGTTGATTTTTCTTTGTTAAATGGCATTTAAATGTATAAAATAAATATCAAAAATATAAATCTTTGTTTTACTATGGTTGCAAATATCAAAAAATTTCTATATGTGACAAGGCACCAGAGTGAAGTTAGGGTTTTCCAAAATGCTGACACGCTGAGCTCAAAAGGTTCGCCATCACTGTGATAGATAGTGATTTTAATATACTTCTACCCCACAGTGGGAAAACCAGTTTTGTCTCAATTTGCAATTCATCTCAACATTAGTTTATTCTTTACATATTTGTGCTATTATGACTTTTCCTTTGAGCCAATTACAACACCTGCTGGGTTTCTTCACATCAATTAAGTAAAATAAAACCTTTAGCACATGTTCATTTTTTTAATATATTTTTTATTGATTAAGATATTACATATGTGTCCTTATCCCCACGTGACCCCCAACCC